TATCACTAGGGACATATATCTTAAGAGCCCATGTATATATTATATATGTATATATTGTGTGTGTGTGTGTGTGAGATAGTATGTGAAAATACAAATTAACCAGCAATAGTAATTAGTACGTACGTAGAGTATTAATTTTCATATAGTTCTCCAAATCCTTACTAGAAAACTTACTGGTATTATTCACATTAAAATGTAATACATTTAACGAAGATTTCTTAATTCTTATTTGTAGTCAGTGTTCTAAAAATCGGCCGAGGCGGCCGATTAATCGGTCTCCGAGGCGGAGGCGGTCCAAAACCTTTACGATTTTAGTGTAAAGGTTTGAAAAATCGGTTTTTTGCCTGTGAGGCGGTTTTAGGCGGTTTGAGGCGGTCCGAGGCGGTCTGAGGCGGGTCAAACTCGGTGGCAAAAATCGGTAAAAAATCGGTTAAAAATCGGCTTTCTTTTTTTTTTTTTTTTTTTTTTTTTTTGCTTTTTATAATTCAAAATAAAAGTTGGATTTTAATAAAAGAAAATATGAGTTTATGCCTTATTTTGTTTAGGTTAATTGTTATTGTTAAAGAACTAATGATGTATGCCACGAATGTTCAAGAATAAATGTAAATTCAAAAAAAATGTTTTTTTATTTATATTTTATAAGGATATTTATGTATTATGATCTTATAATTATTAAATTTTTATTATGTTATTAGGATATATACGTGATGAAGATATAACTATGTTTAAATATCTTTTTATATATGTTTGGAGTATTTATAAATAATATTTAGAAATATATTATATTAAATTTTAAAAACCGATTTATTTCTGATTTATCACCGATTAATCACCGCCGCACCGATTAATCGTGAATCGGTGCCGGACCGATTCGGACCTGATTACCGCTTTTTACAACCTTGTTTGTAATAGTATGACGACATGCATTTTTCTTTTATTCATATATATGAAGTATATAAATATTAGGGTTGCGAATGGTTTGGATCGATTCATTATCGGTCTAACAACCGACGCATCCAGCGTATATATATATCCACGCATCCAATCGGCTTTTTGAAAACCGACCCAATTTTTGTAGGTTAGGTAAATGTTAATGCGTATATATATCCACGAACTAGTTCACTTAAAAAAAACATCAAATTTTGAAGTAAGATATATATGCACATATTCCACAAAAGAATATAATGTAATTCCAACGTTGAAACTAATTCCAAATATAAACATTCTGCCATTATGCAATTATCATTCATTCATCATCTCATGAAAACAATCAATTATTAATCAACATAATTTATAAGTTCAAAGTTCATGATAGATCAAATTTCAGTCTACTGTCAACATTGCCAAAATAGATCAAAATATAAGTTCAAAGTTCATGATAGATCAAATTACAGTCTACTGTCAACATTGCCAAAATAGATCAAAATATTAAGAGCTTTCCACAAAAGAAATTATCCTTAAATATTTCAAATTTGCCATAGTTACAAACAACTACCTCTACTTAGTTATTAAAATTATATCTTAACTAGTAATTGTACCCGTGCGATGCACGGGACAACAAATTGCATTCTTTTGATGTTGTAAGAATATAAACAAACGTTTGATGTATCGTATGATCGAAATTCTATTATACTGGAACATTATTAAGTATACTACACACAAAAAAAAAGGACATAACTTTACTGTTGAATAATTTTCCAAATGAATTGAATCAGCTAATACCAGTAGATTGAAAATTTGAACCAGGAAAAAAATCATCAATTATGTCATCCATGTTGAGCTTAAAAGTAATTAGATTTAATAACTAAGTTAACATAATCAAAACTAAACTATCGACAACATACCATCGTAAAAGGCCATCTATACATCTTGCATCGGAACTAAGCCCTTCTCCACTGCCTCATTTTAAGGTTGTTTTGCCACTGGAATTAACAATTGGAAAATTAAGAAACAAAAATAAATATAAACAATAAATTAAATATCGCATACAAACAATAAGTCTTGAAGGTCGACTTCCAATAGCTTGTGGCTCCGCCCATTTTTGGTTAATTTTCTCAAATCATCCCTTTCAATAACATGTCCAATAACATATAAAATGAAATAATTGTTATACATAAAATTTGAAAACTTTGGTATAAATTAATGAAACACATAATTTAACAAAATGAAATTACCTATAAGCCATGATGGAAAAAGATGTAAACTAATTGCCACACATGCAATAGGATGAAGAAGAAGATAAGAAACAAAATCTAAAGTCGGGTTACCAAAAGAAGAAGCCTTAGGTAGGGAAGAAATAAAATTCAAATGTTGCAGACATTCTGTAAAACGATGTCACAAAATCCGCTAGGGATGAAAATCAGATTTATTTACCCTTTTCTGTAAAAATCGAAAATCAGATTATTATAAATAATATCTAGGAGAATTTGATGAAAATCGATAATAATATTTAAAATAATATTTCGGAGATAAAAATTTGATAAAAAAATCAAAAAATAATATTTAGGAGATAAAAATCAAAAATAAAATTTAAAATAATAGTTAGGAGCTAAAAATTTGATAAAAAATCGAAAATAATATTTCAAATAATGTTAATGAGATAAAAGTTGATAAAATATGACAATAATAATTAGAATAATATTTAGGAGATAAAATATGATTAAAATCAAAATTATTATTTAAAATAATATTTAGGAGATAAAAATTTGATAGAAATCGAAAATAATATTTAGGAGACAATAATCTGATAAAAAAACGAAAATAATATTTAGGAGATAAAAAATTAATAAAAACATGATAAAACTCGAAAAAAATATTTAAAATATTATTTAGGAGATATAAATTTGATAAAATTCGAAAATAATATTTAGGAGATAAAAATCTGCTAAAAGTTGAAAATTATATTTAAAATTATAGTTAGGACTTAGGAGATATAAATTTGATAAAATTAAAAAAATATTATTTATAATAATATTTAGGAGATAAAAATTTGATAAAAATAAAAAATAATATTTAGGAGACAAAAATCTGATAAAAATAAAAAATAATTTTTAAAATAATATTTAGGGGATACAAATATGATAAAATTCAAAAATAATATTTAAAATAATATTAAGGAGATAAAAATTTGATAAAAATTGAAAAAAAATTACAAATATGACATTAGGGTTTCTTAGGGTTGCCCTAGCATTTCTTTCTTTTATATATAAGATATAAGATATCTAGGAGAATTTGATGAAAATCGATAATAATATATAAAATAATATTTAGGAGGAAAAAATTTGATAAAAAAATCCAAAAATAATATTTAGGAAATAAAAATCGAAAATAAAATTTAAAATAATAGTTAGGAGATAAAAATTTGATAAAAAATCGAAAATATAATGTTAATGAGATAAAAGTTGATAAAATATGAAATAATAATTAGAATAATATTTAGGAGATAAAATATGATTAAAATCAAAATTATTATTTAAAATAATATTTAGGAGATAAAAATTTGATAAAAATCGAAAATAATATTTAGGAGACAATAATCTGATAAAAAACGGAAATAATATTTAGGAGATAAAAAACTAATAAAAACATGATAAAACTCGAAAAAAATATTTAAAATATTATTTAGCAGATATAAATTTGATAAAATTCGAAAATAATATTTAGGAGATAAAAATCTGCTAAAAGTTGAAAATTATATTTAAAATTATAGTTAGGACTTAGGAGATATAAATTTGATAAAATTAAAAAAATATTATTTATAATAATATTTAGGAGATAAAAATTTGATAAAAATAAAAAATAATATTTAGGAGACAAAAATCTGATAAAAATAAAAAGTAATATTTAAAATAATATTTAGGGGATACAAATATGATAAAATTCAAAAATAATATTTAAAATAATATTAAGGAGATAAAAATTTGATAAAAATTGAAAAAAAATTACAAATATGACATTAGGGTTTCTTAGGGTTGCCCTAGCGTTTCTTTCTTTTATATATAAGATAAAATTTATTAGTTTAGTTAGGTATTGTTGGCCGATAATTATCGGTCAACCAATCAAATATGGGTCATGTTGATTTTAAATGTCTATGAAAATCCACTCGTTCTGCTGAGATAGATTACTTGTTACGACATTAGGTGTGGTAACAGAATTCTTGTGTTGTCACAGTAATTAACCTACTAAAAACAGAATAAAAAACAGAAGAATTTAATGTGGTTCGAATACAAACGTACCCTACATCCACGAGGACTTGCAAACTAGTTCAGATTTACAGTGTACATCAATAGGACTTAAAGACTCCCTCTTTATGTTATACGCCGTTCTTGCACACGACTCGAACTTGTTGATAATCAAAACTTGTTGATAATCAAAGCAATTCCTCCATCCGCACTCTTGGACTCCTTCCAATGTTGAACTCCCTTGAAACGGCGGATCGACCTGGTAGAAGAAACCCGTCATGTTGCCACACCTGATGTGCCGACAGGGCTGCACCCTTCAAAGCCTTTATGTTGGGATTTTTTTTATTAAAGATCCATGGGACTCATATGACGTTGAGGGTCTTATATAGGCACAAAATCACCACCATAAACCTAACTTGAGCCCTAAGAAATCGATTTAACTAGGTAATAGAATCCTAGTCGATTTCTACTTATATTCTAGATAAGTACAAAAGATACCAAACTAGAATATAATACATGGTCAATCTTTAATTATCAGGTGTGACGGATTTTTTTAATTTTCACTAACCGAAATATGGAGCCAACAGGTCAATTAATGTTACCGATTCTCTCTAATGGGTTGGTTGGTGCGTAAACGTAACCAACTCATTCTGACACCTAATAAATATAATTAAGTGTACACCAAACATAAATAATTATGCATGCATGGATCGGAGCTGTTATCACAAAATAGATACACACATTTTAAACTTCCTCTTACGTACGTACCCTCACAAAATTAATTTGTATATATATATTTGTAATATATCTCAATAAATAACAAAAAATAATAATTCATTATTTATTAAAGATGCAAATCCCAAATTCACAATCAGAAGTAGAAATTTGATTCAACTTATTAGCCTCTTCATCCCTACCAGTTTGGAGCAGAAGCAACCCGGCCAAGTCGGAAGAATGATCTGCTGCAGTACTATAATGAATACGACTCTCAAAGCTCGAAGGCACGCCGCCGATATCATGGCTCAGCTGAGAAGCCACAAATTTGTCAAGCTCCCTCCAATCTGCACTCACTTTCTTCTGTGATGAATAAGTATTGCTTCCACCAATAATTATATTATTATTATTATTATGATTATATCCATCATCGTCTTCTTCTTCGTCGTTATTTTTATCGAATATTATTTCTGTCGCAGGAAATATCCGACAATTAGTAATATCCCTTTTGATTGGTGGAAGGGACGGACTTTCCAGCTGCGGGAGCTGATCAACGAATAATTGATCATCGGAAGATTGTAGGAAATGTAGATTTTCGTTGACTAATTCAATCTCCTGTTTGCATGCCGACTTCTGATTGGATGATAGGAAACGATGATGCCTTGTGATGTCATCATGAACAACTGATGAGCCAACATTATTAATAGGGGTAGGTTCATCGTAGTAGTATGTTGAGTCCCAACCTTCATTAATTATTCTAGTACTCTTATTATTCGTTTGCCCGGTTGCTCGCTTCTTGAAAGCCCGACAAACCACCCATCCCTCTTCCTGCAAAAAATTCACTAAAATGTAAGTGTACATTTTGAGAATATTTCTATGTTTGAAAAGATAAAGATAAGGGCGATTTTGAAAGTTAATTTTTTTACAAAGAATGGATAAAGCTAAGGGAAAATGTCGGTTTCATATGATTTTTTTCATCAGTTCTAAAGGAAAATTTAATGTTTATTCATATATATATATATATATATATATATATATATATATATATATATATATATATATATATATATATATATATATATATATATATATATATATATATATATATATATATATATATATATATATATACATATATATATATATATATATATATATATATATATACTGTAGCTAGTACATCAGAATTGTAGTACACAGACAAGCAAGATTCTCAACACTAATTGTGTAATGACCAAGTTTAATTAATTATAAATAGATTTTATGGAATTTCGAATTTTTAGACTTCTGTATGGTAAAAATGTAGACTCAAAAAGGTCAAAAAGGCAGTCAGTGAAATAAAGACGCTTTATATGGAGGACGTACGTTGAATAAGTGAAAAATTCATGCAAGAAAAGTATATTGACAACTTTTGACTTAGTAGTGAAAGAGATTGCAATATGTTATGGAACATGCAAAGTGAAACACACACAAAAGGTTTGCATGCCTTATTACAAGTTGGTTTAAAAACTGGGCCCTATGTATACAGGAATACATATATACATATATAGGAACTATATATATATACTTTATAATATACTTATGTATTTTCATTCATCAGTTACTTAATTAGCAACAGTTAGTAATATTTAAAAAAGTTGGTGCACCATGTCACTCAAAATGATGGAAACCAACAAAGGTAAGGTGTTCCCGTCACGCCAACTTAAATATTAGATGAATATATATATAGATTAGCTACATTAGGATATATAATAAATATATGGTAATTAGAAGAAACTTCAATCTTGAATATTTGTCTAACAATTGCTAAAATCTATATAAAAATTAGAATATTTTGAAGAGATGAATGAATGGAAGAAAGATATATGCACACCTGTGGAGGTCCATGCTCTTGAGATTCGAGCCTGTACTCGTGCATAATCCAATCGGTTTTTTGGCCGTTTGGAGCTCTTCCTTTGTAAAAGACTAGGGTTTTTCTCATACCGATAATCTTTGCTCTGTCGTACACGGCTTTATCTCTACCGGTTGCCTTCCAAAAACCTGCGATGGTGGCCCTGTTTGTTCGGGTGCCCGTTGGGTACTTTTTATCTTTGTGGCTGAAAAAATACCACTCCTTCTGCTCTTCGTATCCGATTCTACATTTTTCTGTCCATATATATACATAACCATTTTCATTCCATCTCCATGTAATTAATTACATGCATATAATAGATTCAAAGGAAATATATTTTCCCTACTATTTTGCATCATTAGTTAATTAATTCACATGTATATTTAATTTTCCATTTTGTTCATTTCTTTTTTTATTTTTAAAAGGAGAAGAATTACTGGATCCGCAATTCCCCTCCGGGTGACTCGAACGCAAAGGGAATTGGGGAATTAGTAATTATCCTCTTTTTTGAAAGATTAAAAAAAAAAGGGAGCGATGGAAGCTGATATATTAATTATCTCTTGCAACTGTCTGAAACGAAAGAAAAATGTGGCACAATCTTTCTTTAACATATTATATGTATATACCAAACATACCTTACATGTTAGCTTAATTCTGTGATGTACAATATGAAATGAAAGAGTGGATATTAATGGATTTAGAACCAAGAATACATGAAGACGAAAGATCGAAACCCTAAATCTGAAAAGGACACACACACACACACACACACACACACACACACACACACACACACACACACACACACACACACACACACACACACACACACACACACACACACACACATATATATATATATATATATATATATATATATATATATATATATATATATATAAATGGTAAATAATGTACCTATAAGATCCCATGGCTCAATTCTGTAGAGATCAATATCTCTGATAACATCAAGATCGATCTTCTGGGAAGCAACTTTCTTCCTTAGATAATATCCGACCAGCTCTTCATCCGTCGGATGAAACCTAAATCCGGGCGGTACGCTTGATTCCCTTGTAGTAGTAGTATTATCCATCACTTGTATATACAAAGTCAACTTAGTAAGAGAATATGTATATATGTGTATATACTTGTATCTTTTATATACTTATATATACTTATGCTGTTGATATTCACATAGAGAGATAGCTAAGAAGGGAGATATGTATAAATATATATATATATAGAGGGCAGAAGAGAAAAGCGAGAAGGAAAAAGGGGAAGAAGAAGAAGAGAGGGAATTAATAATGAAAGGCTACAAATGAAAAGGTGACAAGTGCTACTCAGATATAATGATCAGCTCATTTGCTGGTGCAGACCAATTCTTGACATTTTATCTTTAAAAAGCTAATCAACGCGTGGTTTTATCAATAAAGTGTTTCTATATATATATATTTTGTAATTATGTTTTTTTTTTTTGTGATGAGAATTCATATAAGAGATGGAGAGGAGAGGAGAGAAGATAATGATGAGGGCTGTGCTGAAAACCAAGAGAGAGAGAGAGAGAGGGTTAGGCAATGGAAACGGACAAGTAATGATGTTGTCTGTCTTGTGGGTTGTGCTTCCTCAATATTGTATATCACACTCCATCAAATTAGTTACTTCATTTTTTTTTTTTTTTTTTTTTTATGTTTAGATATAAATGGTCATAATAATATCATTTCTGGAAATTACATTGATCATGTTTGGTGAGTATAAGATCGATATATTAATAAATTGTCTCTATATATATATATATATATATATATATATATATATATATATATATATTATTTTAAATGTAATATTACATGCCAGTCAATTAGTTTATTTAATTTATACAATTATGTTTCCTTGTATAATTTGTATATTGTCCTGATCGATAATATAGTGGCAAGCATTTGTCTGTAAAAGATCTCATGTATATATGTACCTAGCTTCCAAAGAATTTATTGAAGGGATAATTAGCAAAAAACTCCCCATCTAGGAAAATGAGTTAAGGAAACACCTCCAAAAAATAATTTGAGAAACCCCTTATAGCTAATATCCACCCAAGTGATATTTTCATAATTCCAAAACTACCTTTAATTGTCTAATATACTCTTTCAAAACTCAATTTTATTTTCTCTTTTCCGTCTCTTCTCCGCTTTTTTTTTCTCTCTTTTATACTTTTCTCTCATTCTCTCTTATCGGAAGATGAAGAACCAACCACCGACATCACCGCCAGAACAACGATGCCAATTCCGTTGAAGCCGTCGTCGTTGTTGCCGTTGCGGATCTTAACAAAAGCCATAAAGATGATGATGATTTTGATAGCGATTTTGAGTTCAAATGCCACGATTGCTACATCGACGGCGAAAAGAGGTAAAATTGTCGATTGGAATCGGATTTTGATGGGTGGTGGTTCTACTTTGGTTGGTGGCTTTGTTTTGGTGATTTTGACCGTAGAACATGGTTCTGTTTTGATTGTTTGTATAAAAAACAGTTAGAATATGGAAGTGGGGTGGTGATGGTGTGGTGTGGCGACGACGTGGTGACGATGAAGAACAGATCTAGGGTTTTTTGGTGGATTGTGGCGAAAGACGGCGCAGAAAAAAATTTGCGCAGGCAGGGCCCTTAATCGACTACGTGTGGTTTAATCGACTATGTTCAATAGTCGATTAAGGCTTAATCGACTATGTTCAGTAGTCGATTATGGTTAATCGACTCCAGTTAATTTTTTTATTTTTTTTTGATTTTTTGTTTATTTATTCCTATGTATAAATCAATTACAATGTTTATATATTTTTTTTAACTATAATTGATTTTGTATTTTTTTTGTAATTGTGATTTGTTATTTTTAATAGTTAATTTTTTAATCGACTATCCATTAATAAACTTGATAGGAAAAAAAATTAAAAAAATCAAAAAGAATTTAAAACAAAATTAGAAACAAAAAAAAATTTAAAAAATTAAAGATTTTCCTTAGTCGACTATGAAGCATAGTCGATTAAGGCTAATCGACTATGCTTCATAGTCGATTAAGGAAACTGATACATAAAAGACCGGAAAAAAAAAAAAATCGCTGAGCGCGTGACACGGTGATGATGTGGCGGGCAGGGGCAAAATTAGAAAATCTAATAGCTAAAAATGAGTGTGGACTTTTCTCAGATGTATTAAAATATTTTGGGGCTCCCTCAATTAAAAAAAATAGTGAGGGGTATTCTCAA